CCTCTTGAGCTCTGGAGCGGAAAGAAATTTGAATAGGCGAGCTGCGTGCCCGTTGAAGAATGCCGGACTCTGGTCAGATCGTATTGCGGCGTGCAATGCAGCCATACCGCACTGGCTGTTGACCAGCTCATCTAGGCATGTAGGCGGATCTTGGTGAGTAAATACTGCCTCTAGAAAGGGGGAGTAGGTGCGCTGCACTAGCTTGACTTTATCGTTGATGGCATCGTGGAATAATTTCGAGAGGTGGTGGGAGCGGTTTATTGACATGATGCTTGATGGTAGGAAAAGGTTCACAGAAAAAAATGGGACGGTAGAGATTAGACTTTATGGGTGCGAATGGGAGATTTCAGCGATGTTGAGAGTGGATAGTCCATGGTCAGGCTCCGCTTTAGGGCAGGTCGAGAGGGGCCATGGAACACTTCAGTTGACACTAAGTTGGTTCCAGAATCCTGGTTCGATCACATTTGGCCTGCCCCTTTCTGTAAATCCAGATGTGCTTCTTTCTGAAGAGTGACACGTTTCGGCTAGGCCCTTAAAGAACAGTGTACACAACTGATTAACGGATAACTTATCGAGACGAATCTGAATGATTAGTACACGGTGCGATTGGAGGATTATAACAGCGATAGGACTCACCACACAGGCGTTCCTCTGTCATTCGCCCATGACATCCGTGAAGACACCAAACTCAAACGAGATAATATGGAATTTTTTGCGGTCCTTTTTTGGCTGCAGTAATGGCAGTGTCGTGTTGAGGGATCCGGTCGTGGACATGATAACGATTTCGCCGATTTTCGCCAGATCTCCATTGTGCCCACAGCAGACGAAATTCATTCGAACAAACCTGCCTTTATTAGGCCAAGTCATATCTTTCAAGAAGAAAGCACGGAGGAGGCCCGGCGACGAGCCTATCTCGAAAACCACTTTCGGCTCCTAAGAGAGGACATGCTCTATGAGATCCGAGAAGAACTCCAGCTAGACAAGAAAAGAAAACAGCACCGTAATATTGTCGTCGGTAAACTGAGATTGGCTCGCGCTCATCGGTCTCTGGATGCAGATGAGAACGGCCATAGGAAACGAGGCAGATGGTCAATTGTCTTGCAACGTCTAACAGGCCTCGGACAATTGTATAAAATGAAATCAAAGGAAGAGAGAATACACTGGCTGCAAGATAATCGTCAATTTCTCAAGCATCAATCGGTCGCCTGCCTGTTGGTCGATGAGGAGCTGGTTGCACTCGTGACAATCGACCGAGACGAAGAGATGCTGGCATTGTTTCCTCCCAAGCTTGTGGTCCAGATTGAAGGGGCTGCCAGTATTTCCAGGGCTCTCCTCAAACTAAAGACTGCACACGAAGTGAAGCTGGTCCAAGTAAACGCACCCATTTTTGCCTACGAGCCGATACTCGATGCTTTGAAGCAGATGGAAAGCTTGCCCTTCTCAAAGGAGATTCTTCGTTGGAAGAAAGGGATGGTCCCAGACGAACTTGGCGTCATGCCTTCGAGGGTGCTTGATGCCCTCAGGCAAGACTCTTCCCAAAATCTACAGACTCTTCTCCGTTCTCCAAAAGAAGTGATTCTTGATGCGTCACAGGGTAGGTCCTTGTTAATGGGCCTCACTCAGTCACTGTCCTTGATACAGGGTCCGCCAGGTATGTAAAACTAAGCCCAGGAGAGCGTCTTCTGACCAAATACATCAGGTACGGGGAAGTCTTTTATCGGAGCACTCGTCGCGAAATTCCTCCACGACTTTGCTAACTTG